CTACTTTGTACTTTCATTAATTTTTCCTCACTTCAGACAGACACAGCCAGCTGCTTCTTTTTTTCAGACAGAGTCTCGCTTTGTTGCCCAGGCTAGAGTGTGAGTGCCATGGCGTCAGCCTAGCTCACAGTAATCTCAAACTCCTGGGCTCAAGCAATCCTGCTGCCTCAGGCTCCCGAGTAGCTGGGGGTACAGGCATGCGCAACCATGCCCGGCTAAATATATATATATATATATGTTGGCCCAGCTGCTTCTTGATAGAGAGGTCATCATCCAGAAATACTTAAAGACTATATAGGAAGCTGGGTCTCTCACACTCTGGAGAACAAAGTGTATTAGCAACTGAATTAAAAAAAAATACGATTGAACTTTACATTGAAAAGGGCAAGTTAGGAATCTGCCGATAATTCTTTCTCAATCTCATCAGCTCACAGGAGGCAAAAGTGGGTCCGTGAGGATGTTGGTGGATCTTGACAGGTTGCTATCTGCTCCCCAGCATCACTCGGGAAAGCATTTCTTCTTTCATGGTACATAGGAAAGGAGGCCAGCTGATGGCTTACTATAAGAAATACAATTGTATATGGTTTTTATCTCAGCATCTGCCCTTACTGATAAGAAGAGGTATATGTCTTCGAACAATGTAGAAGTGATTTTTTATATTGCCCTTGTGGCTAGCAACTTTGCTAAACTGATTTAGTAATTCCAATTCTTAATCTGTAGATTATTTTGAATTTCTATCAATATGATACATGTCATGAGTAATGATCATTTTGTTTTTTCCTTTCCAAACCTTACATATTTTATTTTTTTTGTGTGTTACTATACTGGCTAGAACTTCTATCAAAAAAAGCTGAATAAAAGCATTAGTGGCCATCTTTGTTTTGTTCTCGAATTCAAACTTCTAACATTTTACCATTAAGAATGTGGTTTTGGCCTGGTGCAGTGGCTCACGCCTGTAATCTTAGCACTCTGGGAGGCCGAGGCAGGTGGATTGCTCAAGGTCAGGAGTTCGAAACCAGCCTGAGCAAGAGCAAGACCCTGTCTCTACTATAAACAGAAAGAAATTAATTGGCCAGCTAATAAATATAGAAAAAAATTAGCCGGGCATGGTGGTGTATGCCTGTAGTCCCAGCTACTTGGGAGGCTGAGGCAGGAGGATCGCTTGAGCCCAGGAGTTTGAGGTTGCTGTGAGCTAGGCTGACGCCATGGCACTCACTCTAGCCTGGGCAACAAAGTGAGACTCTGTCTCAAAAAAAAAAAAAAAAAAAAGAATGTGGTTTGGCAGGGTGTGATGGCTCATGCCTGTAATCCTAGCACTCTGGGAGGCCAAGGAGGGAGGATTGTTCAAGGTCAGGAGTTTGAAACCAGCCTGAGCAAGAACGAGACCCTGTCTCTACTAAAAATAGAAAGAAATTAATTGGCCAACTAAAAATATATAGAAAAAAATTAGCCGGGCATGGTGGCACATGCCTGTAGTCCCAGCTATTTGGGAGGCTGAGGCAAGAGGATCACTTGAGCCCAGGAGTTTGAGGTTGCTGTGAGCTAGGCTGACACCATGGCACTCTAGCCTGGGCAACACAGTGATACTCTCTCAAAAAAAAAAAACAAAAACAGAAAAGAATGTGGTTTGCTGTTGACTTTATATATAGTTCCTTTATCAGATTTAAAGAAGTCTCTTTATATTATATAAATATAATATATACTTATTGTTTATAAATATATAAATCTATTTTTATATATTATATAATATATATTTATATATATTATTTTCTAAGAGGTTTTTTTTAATGAATAGACATTAAATTTATCAAATGCTTCCCCCTTCATCAATTAAGGTGATCACATTAATATTATTCTCCTCCTTTATGCAATTATTGTGAATTATATTTCTTGCTTTTCTGATGCTAAAGGAATCTTGCAATTCCTGGAATAAACCCAACTGGGTTATGATATAGTAACCTTTTAATATTACTGACAGATTTTGCTTCCTCATTCATGAGTGAGACTGGCTTGTAAGTTCTTTTCTCTTAATCTTCTTGTCAGGTTGTGCTAGGTTCATAAAATGAACTGAGTGTTCCTTCTTTTTTATTCTCTAGATTTGGTTAATATTATTTCTTTCTTAAAAGGTTATGTTACCAATGAACCTACTGGGCCTAGAGTTTTCACTGTGATAAAAATTAAATTATATATTGCTTTTAATATGAACATAGAATTATTCAAGTTTCCTATTTTTTCTCTGTCAGTTTTGGTAAACTGTATATATATTTTTTAATGGTTCCTTCCATCTGTTCCATTTTCAAATTAAGTCACATAAAGTTGTTTATAAAATACTCCTCTGAAGGGGTATGTCTGCAGGATTTGGAATAATGCCTCCCTTTTTATTTCTGACACTGCTTATTTATACTTTCTCTCTTTTTTCTTGGTTAATCCTGCCAGAGGTTATTATTATTGTTTTCAAAGATTCAATCTGTGGTTTTTAAATTCCTCTTTACTATATTTCTTCTCCCAAATCATTAATTTTTGTTCTTGTTTCTACTCCTTACTTCCTTCTACTTCTTTCTTTAGATTTAATTAACAGTTATTTTTTATTTATTTATTAAAGGCAATGTTTTTGCCTTTATTTATTAAGGGCAATGTTTTTTCTTTTCTTACATATGCTTTTTTTTTTTTTTTTTGAGACAGAGTTTCGCTTTGTTGTCTAGGCTAGAGTGAGTGCCATGGCGTCAGCCTAGCTCACAGCAACCTCAAACTCCTGGGCTCAAGCGATCCTACTGCCTCAGCCTCCCGAGTAGCTGGGACTACAGGCATGTGCCACCATGCCCGGCTAATTTTTTATATATATATCAGTTGGCCAATTAATTTCTTTCTATTTATAGTAGAGACGGGGTCTCACTCTTGCTCAGGCTGGTTTTGAACTCCTGACCTTGAGCAATCCGCCCGCCTCGGCCTCCCAAGAGCTAGGATTACAGGCGTGAGCCACAGCGCCCGGCCTACATATGCTTTTAAAGCAGTGATTCCCAGCCTTAATTGCACATTGAAATCACCTGGGAAGCTTTCACATGCTTGGGTCCCACCCCTGGAGATTCTAATATAATTGGCCTGGGATGTGGCTTGGACATCAAAAGCTCCTCCAAGTGATTCTAGGTACAGTTAAGGTTGAGAAGCACAGATTTAAAACTATACCCTCTAAATACAACTTCAACTGCTTCCTGGAAGTTTTTAATATTTTCTTTACTAATCAGTTCAAATCATTTTAAATTTTTGGTTGTGATTTAATTTATTATAAATTTTTAAAACCGGCAAATGCAATGCATGATTAGAGAAGTCAGGTAAATGGCACCTTTGGGAACAGGCGAGGGGCAGTGACTGAGGAGCTTCTAGAGTAGATATGATATTATGTAGTGGCTACACATAAGTATGTTCAATCTGTGATAATACATGGAGCTACACACTTACTAGGATTTGTGAACATTTCTGTAACTTTATATTATACTTCGATATAATTTTTTTAAAGAGAGAAAATAGATCTTATACAAGGAATGGGAATTATAATGGCATTAGCCTTCTAAATATTACACTGGAAGTATACTGGAAGCTTATAGAAGAAATAGCACAATGTCATTTAAACTACAACGGAAAAGGACTTCAAACTTAGAATCCTATATTCATACTTTCAATCAAATTGTGAAGGTAAAATAAAGACATTTTCAGTCAGGAAAGCTCACAGAAAAGCTACCTCCTGGACATCTTTTTGCATAAACCTCCTGAAGAACGTGCTCCAGAAAAAGGAGAGAATATAACATATAGGAGAATGAAGACATGGGATCTGGGAAACAGAGACTTCAATATGGGAGGAAGGCAAAAGAAATTCCCAAGATGATGGCTGTGCAGCAGGCCTCGGGAACAATTAATGCACTTGGGAGCAGGAGGCTGGAGGGTTCTAGGGCAGACATTTCCCAGAGAAATGAAAACCAAGAGAGTACCTGCTTTTGTTGGACCAAACTGAGAGATTTTCAGTTCTGTTAGAGTGTAGTGATAATGCAGGGGTAAGGTACACAGAAAAACTGAATAGTGAAAAAACCAAAACATGGCAAATATTACATTTAGGATAAGCAAAGAATGATCCCTCCATCCATAAAATGGGGAAGTATAAATATAGTGCAATTCAGCTGTGAATAGGAGTCTTACGGGCTTAATAACATAAACAGGGATCATCGATCTAGTCGAGCATGTGATATACCTGATTAAATGAATGGGAGGAAGGGGCTGTTGTACGCTTTTGGGTGGTTGTTGACTAAGGCAATATAAGGCACTTTATCCTAATCTCTTATAACAGAATTCCAAAATATAACTGAACTGAAAAGTCAAGAATTAGCATAAGCATAGAGAAGTAAAAAACAACTAACATAATTTAAACTGGGGAGAAGTGGAGATGGGAAGATAGAGGCAGGCTGTTGCTGCTTTCTATTATAAAAACTGTGGCACTTTTTTGTCTTTGTCAATTATTTGTGTATGTTATTTTTATAAAAATAAAATTAAACTAAGAAAAGAAACCTATGCAAATAAAAGAGAAAATCCTAGGGGACTAAAATAAATCACTTTTAGCTTTAAAACTCTGGATAATCACCAGAGTCATCTCTTGAACAAGAGTAAGCAGATATGTAGCTCACATCAGTAACCATTATTAATTAAATGTTGTAGTAGTCCAAAATTCTCCCCATATGAAGAGCCAAATTATCCACAATTTAGTATAGGATACATGCAAAGCTGCCCCCCACAAGAGCCAGAACATACAAACCAAATGTTTTCATTTTATCAGGTTAGACTAAATTTACATTACAGTAACTGACATGGAATATTTCAGGAATACATATGAAGTAAATTTGATCTGTTGGGCACACAGGATTATTCTTTCACCTTTTATGAGCTGATACTCCATTAACAGAATTAACAAGGGCCTAAATCAAAAGAACAGATATGGTTTGTATAAGCAAAATTACCTGAAGAACGTCACGAAGAACTGTACCAGGTCCATAAAATTGCTGTGTTGGGAGAAGGCAATCTGTGACGGAAAAACAGGTAGTGTGATTATAAACAGCATCACTGACTCACCCTTCTTATTTCAAGAGCTAAGCTGAAAGACAGACTTCACATTTTACAGAAGACATTTATGAAACTTTTTTCACTTAAGGAAAAGTGTCTCACCCCTTCAGCTTTTAAAAATTATTGTTTAGTTGCCAGCCCCAAAGTAATATTCTGAGGTTTCAGCATAATCCACTGCAGCCTCCCTCTGCACTTCACATCAGATCTGAAGCTCTTTCAGCCTGACCCTGAAGACCCCTTGCGCTCCTACATTAAAGACCTCAATGGCAGGTGAGTCAATCTGCCTGCTCCCTCTCTGTGCCTGCACTCAGACACAATGCTTTCTTTGTGCTTCAAACACCAATTCTCAGATCTATCTCAAGGTGGGTAGCCTCACCTTGTGCCTTTCATTCCTTCAACATTTATGTTCTCAATGTGTACTCACTTCAAGATACTGTCTTTTTAAAAAATACCATGCCTCCTCAGTTTTGCTACACTGAATACCATCTGTCATCAGTTGGAACTTAAATAATTTGATTATAATAGTCTTTATACCAAGAATATAAAAAAAAACCAAAATATTTCATCAACTGTAGATACCATTGACTAAAAGAGGCATTATTTTGTGTACTATTAAGAAAAAACACTGCCAATTAAACTATGACACAATGCTTTTCAAATCATTGACTGAAAGATGCACTGTGATTTCAGAGATACTAGGGTATAAAAAATGTGTATCTCAGAATTGATTAAATATGAGAATTGTGTCCTTAATATTACCTATAATATATATAGTACTAGCCAGATTTTTTATTTTTTATTCCCTGCTTTTTTTTGAGACAAAGTCTCGCTTTGTTGCCCAGGCTAGAGTGAGTGCCGTGGCAGCAGCCTAGCTCACAGCAACCTCAAACTCCTGGGCTCAAGTGATGCTCCTGCCTCAGCCTCCCGAGTAGCTGGGACTACAGGCATGGGCCACCATGCCCGGCTAATTTTTTCTCTATATATTAGTTGGCCAATTAATTTATTTTCTATTTATAGTAGAGACGGGGTCTCGCTCTTGCTCAGGCTGGTTTCGAACTCCTGACCTCAAGCAATCCTCCCGCCTCAGCCTCCTAGAGTGCTAGGATTACAGGCGTGAGCCACAGCGTCTGGCCTTGGCCCTCTTTGGAGAAACAATGGTACTATAAATGAAACAATTTTGAATAAGGTGGCAATTGTCCTAGTACAGAAAATAAGTATGATAAGAATCAGGACAGTAAATGACTAGCATCTTATTTCCTAATCCCACCCTACCCCACTCAGAATGAGGCAAAAGGGAGACTTCAACTATTTGTTTTTTTGATGGTCTTATTTTCTTTTTGATATTCTGTAAATAAAGTTCCAATACTACCTATTCAGGCCATAAAATATTTTGGGGCATGGAATTTGAAGTTTTGTGTCTTCTCTGCCACCATTTGTAATAAAAAATGCAAAGCTGCAGAGATTTCATATGATAAAGAGAAACCCACTTTCTCTTCCTTTCTGTCATTTATTACAATAACTGGTTGCAGCTCCATGAGAGAAGGAAAGATGCAGGATATGAGATACTTTTACTCATTGCTGGATGCCAAAAATCTCTGGATCTAGCTCCTTCAGAGGACCCATAAGCTCCTTCAGAGGACTCATATGTCCATGTGCCCTGTGCCAAGCAACATTCCTTAGGGCAGCTCCCCCCTGTGCTGGGATCCCAATCATTATCCTGATTTCTTGCTGAAGCAGGACTGCACCATATTCATGTCCAGTTTATAATCATAAAGAACCTCATATAAACTGGCCCCAGTGTGGACGGTACCCAAGACTCTTTTGTTGAATTTTTATCATCCAAGTCACCAATTAGAAGGTTGAGTAGGAAAGCAAAAGTCATAACATGTTTATGAATGCACTCACCACACAGAAACATCCAGTCCTGCTTAACACCCCATCCATTGTGTCAGTTTTTGTTGGTCAATCTTAGACTGATAACGTGATGAACTTACTGTGTAAACTGAGCACTTCTGAGAGTGAAGGGGAGTGCTATTAAAAATTACCCAGTGTAAAAAGCATAAATGTTATAGCAAGCGTAAATTGGGCTGTCTCAACTCATGTCAGACAATGCAAACCACCTATAAAATGAATCTTGCAAAAGACAAGATTTTTAGTGAAAGTGCTGTTACAGAACTGCTCACACAAAACCAATGACAAAAGAAGACTTGGAAGGTCTACCCTGTCAGTTATCAAATGAAGAAAGGGTAAAGGATGAAGACGTGGTAAGTGCTTCATAATACTCTGAACAGGATTAAGAGAAGACCCTGGGAAAACTGACAAGGACCTTGACTACTGCTCTTTAAATCCTGCTATGAAGTCAAGTCTGAAGTGAAGGACTCCATGATGGAGACATCACATCCCTGGGCACCATATACACAACTGCAGCCACACCCTATCTGCTTACCTTGCTCTTTTGAATTCACAGCCCTATCTGTGCATTTATTTATGGAAAATAAGATCTGTAAGGACTGAGGACAGGGACTTTACCCTACAATACTGACTACTATATCTCGAGCATCTAAAGCAGTGACCACTATGTAACAGGTGCTTAATAAAAATTTGCTAAATAAATGACATAATTGGAAAAATAATGACCTGTCTTTCTCCCAAACTTAAGACCTGATTGACTTCTTTCTTTTAAGAAATGGCCCATGGTCCACATCCATAATTTAACTTTTGTTAACTATAAAATTAAAATAAACATTTTTCATACTGTTTAATTTCATTTTCAAGATAGTATCCCAATCAAACCTTTCTTTCAAGATTTATTATGAAAATGTTGACATGGATTTGGGGGCTTTTCAGATACAAAAGATAATGAGGATTTCCTACACTAAAATCTATTTTAATACAAAAAAGAAAATCTAATTATAACTTATAAATAAAACTTACAATGTCATTCTTTTGTCTTTCCATACCGTAGATATCACTCTCCACACTCCAGAAATCTAAAATTTATGTCCCTCTACATTTCCCCAACCTGATTCCATCTCAACTTTCATCAGTATGTTGATTAAAGTGTGTCTGCTCTGTGGGCCCTCTGATGTGTTCATAAATTCTGAAAAACTCCAAACTCAGAAGCTTCATTAGCCCCTGGGTTTGGGGTAGGATACTGTGGATCTGCACTTCCCCAAGCACCAATTTTGTGCTTCAGTCAAACAAGTGTTTTCAGGTCACTATACTACATACTGGATGCCAGATGGTCACTGGGGAGCCTCCCTGCCTGTCTGCACTGGGGTCCTCCTTGCCCTTCGTGCCCCAGCACAACCACTGCCCCCCTCATCCGGCCACCCCCATTCACTCTTGGAATTGGCTCATTCTCCTCACTGCTCTCTCAGCACTTATCTGCCTCCCTTTCAGGACATGTGATAATCATATTCCGCTTACTCTATGGCTGGGGGACACAGGGACATCCTGGAGCAGAGGATTCCTATATTCTTCTGTCATAACTACACCAATTTCTGACTTTTTAGTTATAGGAGAATGAATGAAAAGGCAATTCTTGACCTCCCACACAAAAGCAGATACACCTCTGTATTCCGAGAACTAGGCCACGATTCCCAAACCCTGGAGATCTTACAACAAAGTCAGAACCCCAAGCCTAACTCCCTACTTCTGGATCTTTTTTTTTCCTACTTCTGGATCTTTAAGCTCCCCAGGTGATTTTGATGCTAGTGTCCACAGGCTGAACTTCAGGAAATTCTGAATTTGGGAATTATTAAAAAGTGTCATCCTCTGCTCTTTCCCCAGAACATTTCTTCAGCATTTCAGAAACTGCACTGAAAAAAATCCCCATCTTTACTTGGAAGGTTAAAACCCCAAATGAAATTAACTTGTACCAGGAAAGGGAGGGAATGCAGAGGATGTGTCAGCACTGTGAAAGTGCCTGGGAACATGGGGTGTCTGCATGGTGGGCCTAGGGAGGCTCCAGAGCCTCAGTGATTATTCTGTGTCCATGCCCATCACACATGAGAGTGAGGGTGGCTGCCCTCAATGGAGTAAGGGCCCAGGGCACAGGGAGCAGCAGCAGTCAGTGAATGAAGATGAGACCAGAGGGTCTTCCCCAAATCTCTGAAGCCCTGAGGTATCCATATGTCCCTGAGAGAAGGGAATGGGTGTCTATGAAAACAGGCTGAGAAAGAGTTTCTCGTCAAGCATGGTGGGTAGAGCCTGAGCCCAAGCTTACTATAAAAATAAGAAAATATGATATTTCTTATATTCAACTACCACATAACAAATGCTTTCTTTTTCAAAAACATTTGTATTTTTGCATCTACTATGTGCCATCCACAAAGTAGGTATGGTTTGGATGAAGGAATAAATATTGAATGACTAGGGAAAGACCACTGTTCAGTATAGAAGGTTTGAAAAGACAGAAGAAAGGACCTCTGATTTGCCTTTATCTTCTCCACCAAGAACTTCATGGCTACAAGCACACGGGACAGGGAGAGGATGGGAGGACAGCTGGCCATCCTGTGAGGTGAAGCCTTCCCACTTCAAGGCAGCACCTGTTAGGCTTGGACAAAACCCAAGGTATGTGCACCTGGCAGAATCTAGTAGGGGATCCCATGGTCTTCTCAGGCCAGTAGCTTCACCAAGACTGGGGCACCCCAGACCAGGGCCTCTCATCCCTCTCATCAGGACCAGAGAGAACCTAAGTGGACGTGGCTGCCATCTGGACTCCTCATCTGACATACCAATCTTGCCAGATAGTTTTGGACACTGCAAGGCTAGGAGCCAGGAGAGGACTAATTCCTCCCGTAAGAGCGTAGGCCTGTCTACCAACAGCCTTTCCACTCAGGCCTCGGCTTGCCAAGGATGGAAGAGTCTATGAGCAATGGCTGAGTATATTCTAACCTGGGTCTTCCTTCCTTGAGTTTTGCTGTGATACAAAACAACTTTTTTTTCCTTTCTTTT